AGGGCTTGGTCTCCAGGCCCCCGATCATCTTCATCGTTTTCCTCTGCACTTGCTCCAGTCTGTCCATATCCTTTTGGAAGTGAGGCCTCCAGAACTGCACATAGTACTCCAGGTGCAGCCTGACCAATGCAGTGTAAAGCAGGAATATGGCTTGAGCAAGGCTGTTAACAGTAGAACAATTTGGAAGTCATTAATTCAAAGGGTCACTGTGGACTGGAAGTGACTGGAAGGCACATAACACACACAGTATGTCAACACAACCAATAATGGGATAGTGTCTCAGTAGATGAAGACTGATCTAAAACATTAGGAATGGGCATCAGGTTGCAAAGACACTCTTGGTTTTAACACACCCCAGTCCTTGGTTGGTTTGAAATGATACATGAGTTTCTCCATCAGTAGTATATCCCAGTCTTCCCTACTGAGTGAGTCCATTGGCAATACAGAGCTTGCTCTACAAGTATAAATATTATCAGGTCTTTGTGCAGGAGATCCTGTTATTCTTACTGGAAAGATGTCTAAAATTACCAGAATTGGGTGTTTAAGAATTTGATAATTTTGGTTACCTCTAAACATGCATCATGCTAAAACTTGACCTACTACACATTATGAGCACATCACATCATTGATTTCTTGGCAGTTTACCACTTACTTGGCTGAATCTTGAAACTGGAGGAGGGGTCAGATGCCACCATGAAAGGCTCTTACATGTTGATGCCTTTAGTTAAACACTTATAGGTCTCTCTTGACCCATAAAAAAAGCAAGACTCCCATTTTGTTTTTTTCAGTTGGCATCCCTGAGTTTGCTTCCCAACTTTCCCAAATGGCACCTGATGAACTCAGTAGATCACACAGCATGTTATACTTTTAGAAATTTAGACCCTTCCCATGAGACATACCAGATTTCAACAGAAACTCACAATCTGTTAGCTGACATATAAAATTAGGTTAACATAGCTGGCTATGTTTTTAAAAATGTTATGTATTTATGTCACTGGCTGTTCATACCATCCAATTTCTCCCAACAGACAGATCTTATGCGCACACAGAGTACTGGAGTTATTGTCTCAAATTCAGTTGTCCCCTCTTCCTCATTTCCCCCAAATCTCATAGTTTATTGCCTATTCAGGCTGCTAAATTTTGAGTGAAACATGGATCATACCATTTATTTAATATTTTAAAATATAACATTATGTTATGCTTATTTTGATTAAGAGACATCCAGTTATTCTGAAATACTCATCACTGTAACTAATTTGGACCAGCTGATGTCACTGGATGGATTTTTAAAGGTTCATCTACATTAGAACTCTTTATATGCTTCTCTTTTTACAGTATCAAAAATAAGTGATATTGGGTGAATGACAGAAAGTTAAAGGATAAAGAGCATGAAACAGGATCAAGTGCCATGTCTCACAAATCCAATTAGACTTCAGATTGGTTTAATTTTACAAATACTGGCAAATCAATTACTGCCAGGAAATCTGTCATCTCCTAGAAACTAAATACTCATTTTTGTAAAATGTTTAAACTTGCCATGAACTACAACCACCTAACCATTAGCTGCTTAATCATAATTCCAGATCATTTATGGCAGCTATTTTAGATGACATTTCTTTTTTTCAAATCTGCAAGGCCACATCTTCTCTCAGGAAGCAGCCTAACAGTGAAATAAACTGTATTCTTTAGAACTCATGCTAAATTATGAGCCTCTTTTTAAATTCTTCAATCATTTATTGTACAATTTAAATAGTAGTAAAATTTATATCTCCCTCAACTTTGCTGACTTCCTGTACTACAAGCTACTGTGATCAACAACAATCCATATATTTGATGACAAATACCTTTCGCATCATACCTGATCTTTTTGAGATGCCAGGGATTGAACCTGGGACTTTCTGCATGCCAAACCGATACTCTACTACTAATCCATGGCCTCCCCCTAATAATTTAACGTCTCATGTAATCAGATCCTTAGATGCAGTCCCAGATGCAAAAGCTGAGGAGTAAATCACACTGCACTGGCATGCAGTCTGATTCCAAACATGCATATTAAACTCAGAAGCAAGCTTCCTTAAAGATTATGGAATTTTCTTCAAAGTAAGCATCGCTTAGGACTGCAAATTCAATCTTGAATAAATGAGCTGGTGTGCCCAGGGACACCCCACCCAACATGATACTATTTAGCTCAAATAAGTATTTAGTTAAAATATCTGCATCTCTTACCCCACATGCTCTCAAGAGAGCTAAATGGCACAGAAGATTTTCCAGAGCCTTACATTAAGCGGAAATCCATCTGGAAACATGGGTACATAAGGTTATGCTATTGTATCTCACTCTGAAATTGCAACCAAATACTCTTGTTGGAGGTTTGCTGTGTTTTTCCTGTAAGCAAAGTGGCAACTGATGCCATTCCTGGCAGGCTTCCTACCACTGGGAATGCTCCAGACAGAACAACATATGTGTACAATTTCAACTACCTAGACCAGAAAAGAACACTATTGGTTCATCTAGTCACTGTTTTAGGGACACTGAATAGAAACTGTTTAATTAGTAACAATCAGTCTGCTTTAATAGCCCCCATACCATGGTCCACCTTTTATTTAACGTTAAATTAGCAAGCACAGTTAATAAATCTATTAAAGTGGTACTGAATATGGCTTAACGTCCCATACAGAACTAGACATGGACTAAATGGTGTGTCTGAACTTTACGAATACACTACCAAAAAGTCAAAGTAGAGGTATGTAGCCAACAACAGACTCTTGTCAGAATTTTTTTTTAAATCTATCCTGCAGTCTCATCCCTTCTGAATTCAGATACACACCAAAACCACAATAAAAAAGAATAATATATATATATATATGTGGAGGAAGAAAGTGATGGGTATATAAGCTACAGTGTAATATATTTTGAAACCAGTGCACAAAGTTCCTCATTCAGAAGGTGGGTACCAGCCAGCTAAACAAACTCCCTGCCAGTCTTCCAGTCCTGAATGCTACTTCATCTCCCTCAGAAAGAACATTCATTCCCATTTGCTCCACAGAAATAGGGCCAGGATCACAAGCTAGGTGAGTCTACTACACTGATAGGTACACTGGGGAAGGGGGATTAGCAAGGCTCAGATTGAAAGGAGTTCTGAAGTCACCCACATCATTAAGGCTTTAGCAGAAGTTACTGTAACATCATCAAAAAAATCTAAAGCAAAAATGAAAATTACAGCACCATCTAAAACACAGGTATACCCTTCGGTGACTTCAGTGGCCTTAGAAGGGTGTGACTGCTTAGCTGTAGAAAGAGCCGCTATACACCCGCTGTGATCAAACAATACCATATGACTGAACTGGCTTGTTCTCATGTAAACAGCATCATATATAAAACCATCCAAGTGTGTGATGATTATTACAAATACTATTGGGTTTCTTTGTTCGCATTTCTTTGCTGCTGAAGATTTATTTTGCAAGTCTCATTTCATATATAACAACAATATCTTTTACGGTGCAATCCTGAGCAGAGGTACACCTGAATACAGAGAAGTCAATGGGTGTAACTCTGTTTAGGACTGCACCATGAAGCCAATAATTTCCAATAGAGGTGCCTAGCAGAAATACAATTATAGAGAAAGCTGTGTGTATATTATACGTACACACACCAACTGGTCTGACCCCACCTCCTGCAAGCCCTTCTACAGAAGCAGCCAGAGATGTCCCCACCCATAATCTCTCATTCACAGACACTTAACAGTGCATTTTCTGACCACCTGCCTTTAAGAGACAGCGTTCATATTCTATGAGGATGCAGCATACATGGAATATGCAAAATACCCCGCCCTCAAACCCCTTTCATATGAATGTTAAAACAGCATTCCTATAGCAAATCCTATAGGAAACAATCTTGTTTCATGTATGCATGCACACGTACATACAAACACACACAAGAGAATGAGATAGATTTTCCCCCTGCCCTTTAACATACATATACCCATGGGACTCATAATTGCTGTTTCCTAGGTACCAAGAACTTTTGGAAAAGCTAATACATCTTGCTTTACTGTACGTGTATACAGAGATCGTGTTAAAAAACATGTTCTTCTCCACCCCACCCCTCAATGTACAACTCCCATTCCCACTTTTACACATGTACTGAATCATCTCAAAGGCCTATGGGAAAAGCCATTCACTTCAACATTTTCCTCCACCCCACGACCTGACCTCAGTTCTTCAAGAATTAGCCCATCTCTTTTCATTACAGTGCTGTCTCTGTACATGCAGGTCTGGCGCTTTCAACCCCCCACCCCCTGTCTACAGTCACTTGTATACTGCAGCAAGAAAGGCACCCTTACCCCCACACACATTCAGCAGTGGATTTACAATCCTGCAGCTGGATGCCCCAAAGAGCCCACATACGCCATCATAGTTTAATAATAAAAAACAATATCAATGATAACATTTCTACTGAACAATGACACTAAATACAATATTAATGAACCATACTAACATTTATAAAATTATACTCAATTTTTGTACTGAGCCGAACGTTAATAGTATATTAAAAGTCATCTAAATACTACTCCTCAAGTAGCGGTTATTGCAAATCACTTGGAAGTTTATATTCGGTTAAGGACTCCAGCCATCCACTCTCTGCAGTTATACAAACCGGAGATGTCTTATTCGTTAAAGAAGAAGTGTTGCAGGTGTTCAAAGCTGCCTAGAAGCCACGTCTTTTTGACGTAAGCGTCTGAATCTTCCCAGGCTAGATGCATGCGAGACGAGCTCTTTACGATGGAAACTCGTGCAGAGTTACTCCAGTCTGAACCCACTGGTGGCTCTAGACTGGAGTAACAACTGGGTAAGACCGCACCGTCAGCGAAGAAAAGCCGCTCTGAGCATGGGCAAAGGCTCTCTTTACCACCAATTCGCACACGACGTGATCAGCGAACCCCAGAACAGAGCCTCTTGTCCAGCCAGGCCCCCCACCACCACCACCACCGCGGGTCTTACCCTCCTGCAGGATGTGCGTAGGCTGGACGGGCCGCACTCGGAACTGCCTGGCGCTCCAGCCGGGGCTGGGCTGCCGCACCACCTCGTTGTCGGAGAGCCAAGTGACGGTCTCGTAGTTGTCCCCGCGGCGCAAGGCCGGGGCCTCGGCACTGTGCACGGCCACCTCCTCGAACTGATGCAGCCCGCCCGAGTGGTCGAAGTGAACATGGGTGGCTAGGCCCAGCAGCGGCCTCCGCCGCCCGCCGCTCCCTGAAGACTCCTTCTCCTCTTCGCCGAGGCGCTGCCCCTCGTCGCCTGCCGCCTCAGGACCCAAAAGACCCGCCAAGTAAAGGTAGTCGGGAAGGCTGCGCAGTCCCAGCCCAGTGTCGATTACCACGTCCCGCTGCGAGCCGCGCACCAGCCAAATGTTGGCTCGGTTGCCCGACTCATAGAAGCGCTCCTGGATCCAGTAAATGCCGCCGCCCAGGGACTTGTGGGCGAACCACTCCAGTGCCGACATCGCCGCCGGCTGCGACCACACGCGACGCAAGGGGCGGGCGACCTGCTGTCTACTTGGGGCGACTCTGCGCGGGGAGCGGCGCTGCAGTCGCCCCTGCGCAGAAACCTCGTCCGCGCACTCCAGTGCGCCAAGGCAGGAGTCCCGACTAGGCGGAGCCGAAGGAGGCGGGGCTGGAACGGGAACAGGCCATGCTTGAGCCAACCGGGCGAGACGTCCCCGTCCCGTCCCTGCCCACTGCAGTAGCGCGTCAGAGGGGAGGGTGGCCGCGAGTAGGCAGGCGTGGCCGGCTTAGTTTGGAGCGCATCTGCACGTGGAAGCTGAGGGCGTGGGGAGAAGGAGGAAGATGCTCGCCGGGAGATTGTTCTTCCCGGAGGCGGAATTTGCGCTTAGGAGTGGAAGGCCACCACCGGGGGCTCAGGGAGGCGGAGGAACCACTCGGGCCCCCACCCCTCTCGACCGGGTGGCCATAACTTTTTAAAGAGCCCCACAGGAGAGGTGGGAGAGCCAGAATGACCTCTGCGAGAGGTGGAATTTGCCCCTACCAGTCGAAGGCCACCACCCCTTGCAGAGGCAAGGGAACGTTTTGCCCTTCCCTCCCCCCCAGCATTGCAGCTGCCGCTGAGAACAGCGCCAGCGGCCATAACTTTTTAAAGAGCCCCTCCCAAGAGCTGGGAGAGCCAGAATGACCACACCAAGAGGTGGAATTTGCCATCACAGGCGAGAGGTGGAATTTGCCCCTAGGAGTCCAAGGCCACCACCCCGGGGCTTGGGGAGGCAAGGGAATGTTCCACCCCTCCCCCCCCCAGTGGTGTCAGCTTAGGCAGTAAACTCTCAGACACAGTAAGTCCTTTAACAGGCTTTATTTTAGAAATCAGCAAAGTTGCTGTAAAGTTGAACTCTTTGGCAGAACTGAGTTACATTACAAAGTTAGGAATTACAAGACCTTTGGTCCAGCCCTCATTTATACGTCAGTATTACATAGTATAGGAACAGGTGCATATAGGTGACTACAGTAAGGTTATAATGGTGTGGATGTTATCATTTCATGTCTTCCCCCAAGGCTATGAGAATAAGAACCAGCAAAGCTCCCACTAGCCTTTGTGGAGGAGTCTTCCTTTCCCAGTGTTACAAGTGCAACTAATCTATGTTCACACAGATATGTCTGAGCTCCCCCCTTCAGGAATGTTGGGAGGGCTGCCTAGTCAGCAATGGGAAGCAAAAAGCAAACAGAGCTTAAGCAAAATGATTAAAGACAGTGCGCGCCTATGTACATGAGGAAACCATAGTTACCAATACAGGATCAATAGTCAGGCTAAGGGCCGAGCCTGACAAGTGGACTCTAATCTGGAGAACTAGGTCTGATTCCCTTCTCCTCCACATGGAGCCTGCTGGGTGGCCTTGGGCCAGTCACAGCTCTCTCAGAACTCTCTCAGCCCCACTGTTGCAGGGTATGAAAACCAACTCTTCTTCCCTTTTGCAGAATCTAGCATGGATCTCATAGCAACCATTCCCACTCTAAAATGAGAGGGCATGGGGATAGATCATGGCTCAGCGGCTGACCGTGTTGCGCTTCGGGCGGAAGGCCCCAGGCTCAGTCCCTGCCCAGCGTCTCCAATCAAAAGGATTTCTGGTGGCACGTGGTATTTGGAAAATAAGGATCCAATACCAAGCGACTTTTCTCTTCCAAGATGATTGACCTGCTGTCAGTTGCTTTGAGTTGTTTCATCATTGATGCTCTCTTTGTGGCAGCCGTTTTGCAGATCCACAATCAAAGACATTGCTTCGGTATTCATACCAACATGGGCAAATGTTATGTACAGAACAAAGCTGATTCACATGGCATTCTGTTGGCACAGTAACGTGCTTGGCATTAAACTCATTGCCAGATCCCACAGCTGCACCAGAATAGGAGAAGACAGAACGTCTGATAGGCAGGGTGGCTCAAAATGTTTTGCTGCCCCAAAGGACAGGTGCCAGAAGAAGAAGAGATTGGATTTATATCCCACCCTTCTCTACCTGAAGGAGTCTCAGAGTGGTTTACAATCTCCTTCCCCTCCCCACAACAGACACCCTGTGAGATCCGTGGGGATGAGAGAGCTCTCTTGAGAACGGCTTGTGGGAGAATAGCTCTGAGAGAATTTATGACTGACTCAAGGTCACACCAGCAGCTGCATGTGGAGAAGTGGGGAATCAAGCCTGGTTCTCCCAGATTAGAGTCCGCGCTCTTAACCACGACATCAGATTGGCACCAAACTAAGCCACCTGTCGCCAGTCTGAGCTGAACCCTGGTTGTGCTAGAAGCATTGCAGGGGGCTCACCCCGGACCCTATGGTTTCTGCAAGTCTGCAAAGGGTGCCTTCTCTTGTTTGACTGGTGGCCAGGAGACATCTTTGAATGTCACCTCTTTTCCCAGGTGGTGTGGGCCTCTCTCTGGTAGGGAGAAACGCACAAGGTGGCAAGACCTGCTCAATCCTGCTCAGCTGTTCCTGGTCTATCTCCTCCTCCAGGGACATAGGAGACTTTCGACTTAGAAAGCCTTTGTCATCTCATCCCTGCTCCTAGAAGGACTTGGATCTCTGGGGATGCCCAAGCAGGGACAAGGAAAACTTTCTGTTTAGAAACACCTTTCTGCAGACCGCATCACCACACCCCAAGTGTTGCTTGAGCAAAGGGGTGTGTGTGTGTGAGGTGCCATCAATTCACTTCTGACTTATGGTGACCCTATGAATTAATGACCTCCAAAATGTCCTGTCGTGCACAGCCTTGCCTCCGGCCTTGCAAACTGAGAGCCTTTGTGGCTGCTTTGACTGAGCCCATCCATCTCATGTCGGGTCTTCTTCCTTTCCTGCTGCCGTCCAGTTCTCCTAGCATTTTCGTCTTTTCCAGTGACTCTTGTCTTCCCATCGTGTGACCAAAGGACAATAGCCTCAGTTCAGTCATTTGAGCTTCTAGGGAGAGTTCAGGCTGGATTTGATCTAGAAGCCACTTATTTGCCTTGCTGATTCAGACGATGGGAAACAGTGCAGGAGCCACGGGTGCTTGCTAATCAGGAAATGTGCTGCTGCTGAGGCACATTTCCAGAAGTAAGGAGGACTGACAAGGAACCTGGAAGGAGGAGCACCGCTATGGATGTGGAATCGTGCTGCTGGCAGTAAAGCTTACTAAATACTATGGCAAGAATTTAAAGGGTCAGGGAAAATTTGGGCAGGGCAGATTAGGGAAGGGGCGTCACCCCAAGGGCCCTGCGGTGGCTACAGGCCTAGACCAAAGTACGATAGCCTCAGTTTAGTCATTTTAGCCTCTAGGGAGAGTTCAGGCTTGATTTGATCTAAAACCCACTTAGTTGTCTTTTTGACGGCCCACGGTATCCATAAAACTGCCCTCCCACACCACGTTTCAAGTCCATACACAGATATAATCTTACTGAACACCTTTCTAAAGAACAGTGTGAGTGTGTTAAGCTAGCCAGTTATAGTGATTTTCTCGTGCTACTTAATATGTGCAGGTAAAAGCATACTCGGCAAAACACAGGCACACACTTGCATTTATTTATTTCTTTATTTCAACTTCTAGCCTCACCTAGTGTGCAGAAAAACCTGGCACCGGCCCTGGCAACAATACCTTGAAGTGAAAATTTACCAATACTGGTACAAGGTTATGGCCTGGTAAGAGCAGCCAATCAAAATTTTTATAAAGTGGGCCCTGTAAAGTTGTTAGAGATAGCTGTAAGGAAATCCAAGGCAGGACGACATGCAGTGTTTGATGAGTTCTAATTCAGTACTTTCACCTTGTATATTCCCTTTGAAGTTTTCTTTCCAGAACAAATCTTGCTCCTTGCTCATCGTTTGCAGGGTCAGCCCCAGGTATTTTTGCACCCTAGGCAAAGACACCTTCTGGCGTCCCCCCCCGTGCACCCCCCCTCATTTCTGGCACCCCCCTATTTCTGGCACCCCCCTTCTTGCACCCTTGCAGCCACCTGGGTCCGTCCCTCCCTCCCTCCCCGTACTGCTGGGTCTTACAACTGATAAGACAAAAACTGATAAATCACCAGGCCCAGATGGCATATATCAGAGAGTTCTGAAAAAACTCAAATGTGAACTTGTGGATCTCCTGACAAAAATATGTAATCTTTCCTTAAACTCTGCCT